CGTACTGCAATTTAGCGGGATTGTATCTCCCAGTAATAGAATTGAAAAATATTGTTGTTCCGTTGGTTCACTTTCAATCATATGTGAACAGTGAAACACTGTTCCTGAAGATAATTATAAGGCTTGATTTTCATTGCGTTCTGCTTGGAACTCCTCGGAGAAAGTTTTCAAGCTGTATTAAATAGAAATTTCTATATCATCAGATCCACAATAGTCTACTTCAGATGCTCAACACTTTCTGATCATCACTGATCTGTCAATCAAATTTGTTTGTTTTTTACTTGCGGAATAATTAACAGAAATAGATTCTGGATATGATTGAATTTCTTAATAGTTGATTGATTGAAAAAAAAGATATTTTTAGATAATTATTAGACCGGCTGTCAACTGATATTTGAGGATATTCTTGGGAAGGTAGTTGCACTAGCAAAATAGCTTGATTTTTTGGATACACAATAGTTTGACTTTTCTCTATTAAGAACATAATAGATTGGATGAATGTATGAGTTCTATAGGTTCCTTCCTTAAGAAACCCCCTCCCAATGTAAGTGTAAATGCCCTCCAGATAGCTATATATTTGCCCTGAAGAGGGGCATATGCAATTACAATGGGAGAGAGGGACAGGGTCAGGAATAATGTTATGGATGAAGAAGCTCTCATGAACTCTTTATGCAAAGCTATTCTCAAAAAGGCCTACATATTAGTTTTCACATCTGGAAACAAAAACCAGTCAACTTTTGTCACCTTAGGCCACACTGATTTAATTTTATGGATGACATCCTCTGAAGACCCCAAAACTAATGCGAGAGGGCGAAAAAAAAAACAATTCGGCCAAAAAAAAATGCTGCTAAAACCACAGGACTACGGAGCTATTATTACGAATTTAACAACAGTGTATCAAAAAAACAACAAGTCTTTATTTGTAGGAGGCACATGTTGATGTACACATTTCGTACTGTATTACTGTCACAGGTATCATCACCTTTGATTTTGAAAAGGCAATAGGATAAGGCAGATGTTAGCTTTGCCAAAGGCATACACATCAACTCAATAATAAAGAAAAACTTACTATGTTGTATTGAAAAAAAAAAAATTTAAAATGAACAATAAGTTTGTCAACAGCAACCTGGAAATTAACTTCTTTGACATTCAAACTACAGCTTTTAAAGTGACACTTCAGATAGACTAAGTGTAGACACAAATGCTCAAGAACTACTTCAACTCTGTAACAAATTATAAGAGGCTCGATATTGAAAAAAAACACCAACAGAGAGTCAACAAAAATTTGGATGCAGAAAATT